TACCATATTTTATCGAGATGAATCAACGTTAGCTTGTTCTATATATCAAGGTACTCAAAAGTTGTGTCGAAACTCACGACGAAGATTCGAGAATGTTAGGGGTCAAATGGATACAACTAAAGATCAAAATGAGTGAAAACAAATCAATTTTTCACCGCACAAGGATGTCCAATTTTTTTTGTTGGAGATTTGAAATCCATTTTTGACCCAATAAACGTTCGAATTGAGAAAGAGCTATTTCTAGCAAAGTTGTAGCCCTTTGAGTTATCTTTCCAACGTATTTTAAATCGCCTTAATCGGATATCGGAAACAAAGATTATGATAAAAATACTCAAACAGCCTCAGCTTAACAGCCGAAAAACCGGCTGTAATTTTTGGCTGTTAACAGCCAATTTTGTTGACTGTTAACAGTCGGAAAATCAGCCGTTAACAGCCTAATTTCTGGCTGTTTGTGCTGATTGTTTTTTTGTAACAGTAGTTTTATTTGTTAACTAAAAGGGTAGTATTGTCTTTTTAATACAAACATGTTTTGTAATTGTTTTAGTAACTTAAGGGTGTTTTTGTCTTTTTATAGCAAATGGGTCATTTTGGAAATATGATTGAGTGTAAAAGTCAAAATGAAAATAGATCCCTTTGACTAGGTCATTTTTAAAAGAACCCCGTGGAAACAAAACAATCACCATTTTTTAAAAGTTTAGCGCCATAGCCAAACATGTTCTAAATGTTCTTTGGAAAATTGGTTGGTTTCCGTTATGCGCGGTCCTCCATTGCTAAATAAAGGTATGGGAATTGGAAAGTTGAGCAAAACTTTCATTTGCACTACCTTCTCTCCTTTTCAGCCAACCCATATGACAGTAGAAGCGGAAAATAGAAAATCTTACAGAAAGTACGAGGGCGGAGAGGTTGGGTGGGGGAAGGTAGGCTACCATTTTCAGCTTCTTTACCATCCTCTTGTACCCTTGATCAACCTCCAATCATGATTTGCTTATCTTGTTAGCCTTTGAAATACCTTGATTTGATTTTGCTGTTTCTGGATTTATCTTTCTGTCTTTGAATTCTATTGAAAAAATAATGGATGACTCTATACGTCTGGCCTGCCCTAGTGGGGAATTATTCAATCCGGTTCTCACAATGGGCACCCAGATTTCATGCCTTCTTGTGATCTCCCACTTTTTTCAGCTTTTGTTGAAGCCCTTAGGCCAACCGGGACCCGTCGCTCAAATTCTTGTAAGTATGCATAACCAATCGGTGAATATTCTATGGGATTTTCTTGAATGAACGCTATATGTATGTGGAGAAAAAAAAATAATTAACCGATGAATGAATGAACCATGCAAGATTATTCTAGGAATTTAATAAAGAGAAAATCTAGAAATTAAAAGAAAAGTGAAAATATGTTATAATTTAACGTTGATGAGGTATACAGGATAAAAAAAAATAATCTAAATCATGTATTATATTTTTTAAATTTCGGTTTTATTTTTTTTATAATATCTGCCTTTTCAGCTAGAATTTCTTTCCTTATAATACCAGATAAATCGAACTTATCGTATTTGCTCTGAAAATATGACAGTGTTTGTATACCTCTCACTTCTGTTATTTTGGTTTGGCTTTGTAACTCAGGCAGGATTCGTGCTAGGTCCCTCTGGGTTGTCACATATTGATAAAGTAAAAAAGTTCTTCTTTCAAAATTTTGCTATAGATTACTATGAAACCATGGCACTATATGCTAGAATCATTATCATGTTTCTGATTGGGCTTGAGATGGATTTTCCTTATATAAAGCGTAACTTGCGTGTTGCGAGCATTATTGCTGGAGGAAGCAGCTTTGTTTGTACAATCTTTGCCATAGCTGTTACCTCCTTTATATACGAAGAGACTGGAGCGCATGGTTCCGCAGTCATGATGGCCTTAACAGTAGCCGTGATATTAGCTAACACAGCATCCCCTATTGTGGTTCGTTTGGCTGCTGAACTCAAGTTTGCTAGTTCAGATATTGGGCGGCTGGCCATATCTTCCTCATTGATTGGTGATGTCTATGCTGTATTTTTGTTGATCATAATTTCAAGAAACAAACATAAATACGACTTCTTCTTATGGATCATGTTGGGCATTGTCTATTTCCTTATTGTTGTAGCAGTAATAGTTCTCAATATATATGTAGCCAATTGGCTGAACCGGAGGAATAGGAATCAGAAATATCTCAAAAACACTGAAATATTTGGTCTTTTGGCAATTGTTATTGTTGCTGCTACAGCACTTGAAACTATGGGTTTCAGCAGCATAATAGCCTGTTTAATCATTGGATCAATGTTTCCTAGAGGAGGCAAAGCTGCTCGGACGCTCTTGATCAAACTCTCATACTCGGTTAACAACTTCATACTCCCAATCTACTTTGGCTACTCTGGATTTAGGGCAGATGTCACTTTTATAAACAGTTTCCGTAACTTCGCCGTAGTTGTCATAGTTATCTTATTGAGCATTGGTGGAAAAATTACTGGCACACTTGCTGCTTGTGTTCACCTAAAGATTCCACTAAATGAGGGGGTTCTTCTTGCTTTCTTAATGAACTTGAAGGGCCATGTTGACTTGCTGACTTTGACCATTGGCTTAGAGAATAAAGTAAGTGCTTTTTTCTGATGTTGAGTGCTTATTATAGGGAAATGTACATCACAAGTTCTCTGCCAACATCTCATTTCATAATGTTTTAATTTCAATTTTTTTTTCTTGCAACTTGAACAGAATGTAAACCAATAAATTTTTTTGGAAGTCGTCTGTAATCTCTTCACGCGACTATGTTAAAACTTTGATTCCCCTTATTACTGCAGGATCTAACATTACTTTCATGTTCAAGTCCATGCATTAATATTAATATTTTTCTCAATTTAAAATCCTGAATTGATTCCTTATATTCTCCTTTACATTGATTATCATATTATTAGATTACTTAAATTCTAGATATGAAATGGTTGATGCAGGTCATGTCCAGCAACACATTCTATAATTTGATGTTGGCAGCAGTAGTAATCAATTCTTTGATTTGGGGGCCTCTAATAGCTTTCATGGTAAAAAGAGAAAGTGATATCTTTGGTTATAGGCATATAGCTTTTGAATCACAAAATCCAGAGAGTGAGTTGCGACTAATAACATGTGTGCATGGCCCACGATCTGTGGCAACCATGGTAGGACTGATTGCAGCATCTAAGGGGCCTGAAAATGTTTCTGTTAGTCCATATTTGATGCACCTTATCGAGCTCCCTGAGAAAAGCAAAACAAATTTAATGTATCATCAAAAAGAAGAAGACGAAATTAGTGATGATGATGATTATGGAGGTAATGATGTGGTGGAAATCAATGAGGCAGTGGATATCTTTGGTGCTGAATCTGGATTGATGATTCATCAAGTCAAAGTCGTTTCTCCCTATGCAACCATGTATGCAGATGTATGCGACTATGCTAATGAGATAAGAGCTTCTATTATTATCCTTCCTTTCCACAAACACCAGAGAATTGATGGAAAGCTGGAAAGTGGCAAGGAGGGTATAAGGGTTACTAATCAAAAAGTGCTTCGACATGCCTCATGTTCGGTTGCCATTCTCATTGACCGTGGACTCACAGCTGGTGGCTCCCATACATCTAGTTCTGAATCATTGCACCATGTTGCTACTATATTTTTTGGTGGACCAGATGATCGTGAGGCGTTGGGATTCAGTAGAAGACTTGGAATGCACCATCACGTAAACCTCACAATTATTAGGTTCCTCCATACATCTGAAAGAAGGCAAACTATGGGGGTCAATATTGCCCAGAACAAAGAGGATGTTTTGATGGCAATATCAGATCACGAGACAGAAAGCAACATAGACAGTGCTGTCCTGACTGATTTCTACAATAGGTATGGCAAGGCATCTTATTTTAATGGCTTAACAAGTGTGTTTCCCTTTCATTTGAATCATACTAACATTAGAGGTGCTTCAAATTATAATCATTATTATTCTTATCAATATTCCGTTAATTGTGAATTATAGGCATGTAACGACTGGTCAAGTGGGATACGTAGAGAAGCATGTGGAAAATGGTGCCGATACAGCATCTGCCCTGAGGGACATGGCGGACATGTATTCAATGTTTATTGTTGGAAAGGGTGGTCGAGATCACTCAATTTTAACAACAGGTATGAGTGATTGGGAAGAATGCCCTGAGCTAGGTAAGGTAGGGGATCTGTTAGCATCTTCAGACTATAATGTTAGTGGTTCAGTTTTAGTCATCCAACAACATAGATCTTCAAAGAATGACAATCAACAATAGAAACGATAGATGCTGATGAATGGTTTTCAGATGAATCCCTACTGTCTCATATACCATACAATGGCCATCGACAAGCTTCAAAATATTGAGAAATTACAGTCAGTAAATCTCTGGGAAGATCATAAGCTAAGAACCGTGCATGTTTATTCAAGATAACAGTTGATCAATCTCTTGGAACATGCCTCCCATGGTCCTTACAATACATAGCAATGTATGTATATTCACCATGCAACACAACCATTGTATGTAATGACAACTTTCCATACTTTCTGAATTCGTAGAAGAGGACATTTTCTTTTTTCTTGTTTCTAATCTTTTTTCTTCACAGGTAGATTAGAAGAAAAATCTATGTAAAAGGACCAGCTTTATATTCTTGTGTATAGATTAGATTCTTTCTAGCTTTATAGAATGAAGATTAGTTGTAAGTTGTGACGAGACTAGATCTTATATATTGATTCTTTTCACAAGTAATTCCAATTAATTTTACGATTAAGAATTTTCAAATTGTACATTGTCTTTCATGTAAAATGTATCAGCAGGTTAGAAGAACAAGCGGCCTTTGATCTTACCAAGGCTAGAAACCGAACTACATATGGGCCGTTGTAAAACCAGAAACTAAAGTCAGATAAGTGTAAAAAAGTTTATTGGTTTCAAAAAAAGTGCGAAATTCCAAAGAGAAAAATGTAAAAATTTTTGTCTGTGTATATTTCTCTTGGTTACTCTCCTCTTTTTTTTTTTTTTTTTTTTTTTTTTTTTTTTTTTTNTTTTTTTTTTTTTTTTCAATTTTACTCAAATATTATAATTTCAATTTTATCCATTGGCTATATTTGTCTCACAGCAATATACTTTAATTAAAATGATTACATGCAGTTACTTTAGAGGAAGTAGCAACATTATAGATGCATTTCGAAGAACATTAAATTTTGAAATAATATAATTAAAAAATATTAAATTTATTTAATTATCATCAACCACTCGACTAAATCACTTGATTTTTAGGTGAAAGGATTTTTTTTCCTTTTTCTCTGGCTAAAGTTCATTTTTGTGGAATTTACACAAAACTAGAATTTCAAAGTTTCAATTTCAAATTTCAGGTATAAATTTTATTTATACAAAAATCAGATATTAACTCATCTATTTCATCTATCTTCTCTATCTAAATCATAATTATCCAAACCTAAAACCCTAATTTTATCCCTCTTCTTCCTCTCCTCTCTCTCTCTCTCTCTTCCGCACATGCTCTCTTCTCCGCCTCTCTCTTTCCCTTTTCCCTTGCACATCCACCGTCAGAGACACAGTGGAGCTCGTCGCTGTTGCGACCGTCGACTGATGCTGTTGTGAACGGCAACGTCGCGAACTCTTCCACTCCTCTCTCTCTCTCTCTTCTGTGCCTCTCTCATCTCTCTATCCCCTCTCCCTCGCACAAACGCCTTTGTCGAAGACACAGCAGAGCTCGTCGCTGCTGCGACCTTCGGTCGACGCTACTGCGATTGATGCAAGCGACTTATCACGGCGTAGCGACGGTGGCTTTCCTTCGTGCCCGACAGTTCTTCTTTTATTATAATTATTATTATTATTATTATTTTTGATGCAGTGGTTGGATGCGGTGTGCGGTGGTTAGGTACTGTGCTATGTCTAGTGGTGGAGCTATCACGATGGTTGGGTGCGATGTGGTTGGGTGGGGTGTTGTATGCGGTGATTGGTTTGGATGCGGTGGTGGTGTGCTGTGGTTGGGTGCAGTGCTATGTCCAGTGATTGGGGTTTGGTGCAGGGGTGTGTAGTGGGTGCTATGTGTGGTGTGGTGGTGACGATGGTGTGTGCCTTGTTATTGGGTGCTGTGTGGTGATGGTGGTGTTGCAAAAATGGGGGTGGCGATGGCAATGGCAATGTTGGTTGTGATGATCTTTGTTGGGAGTGTATTGGATCTAGTGGCAGTGGCTTTATTGGTGGTGCTGTTGTGGTGCTGTTGTGGTAGTGTTGGCGGTGGGATAGTGTCTATGACCAATTGGTTGATTTGTGATCAAGTATTGGTGGTGGATCGGGATCGAGGGTGGGGTGTTTTGGTGTACGTGACCAATTATTTAGTTTATTGTGACTAACTATTAAAATGTGACCATAAAATTTGATAATTTGTGATCAATAAATAATGTGTGATCTAAAAAATTGTTAATTTGTGACCGATAATTTGATAATTTGTGACTGTCTAATAAGTTGTTACTTATAATACTTGTGATTTGTGATCGATAAATAAATTGTGATGTATAAATTTTTTATTTGTGATCGATGAACAAATTGTAACCTATAAAATTTTTGAATTGTGATCGTAAAATAATTTGTGACAAATAAAATTGTGATTTGTGACCAATGAATAATATGTGACTTATTAATTTGATAGATTTGTGACCGATAAATAAACCGTGATGTATAAATTTTTGATTTGTGACCGATGAACAAATTGTGATTTATAAAATTTTTGAATTGTGACCGTGAAATAACTTGTGACATATAAAAATTGTGATTTGGGATCAATTAATTATATGTGACCAACTATATGGAATTTGTGATCAAATTATATGGAATTGTGACCTTAATATATTTAATTAATAAAATATATGTTAATTAATTAATTTAAATTTTTTTAAAAAGTCTAAGATTTGAAATTTTAAACATGGATCTCTTAAATTTGAAATTTGTGAAACTTAACCTCTTAGTTATGAAATCTTCCCTTCATTTTTTTACTTTTGAGTTTGGATTGAATTACGAGTACAGCCCAAGTTCAGAAACACGGAGTAGAGGGGTGATGACTTGGAAGAAAGCCCATTTATGCTTTGTTTCGTATCCCATATTGTTAACATTTCACATTAAGAGGGTGTTTGGTGAAGATTAAAATTTGATTTTTAGTAGATTGTGATAGAAATTTTTGAAATATGCGGTTGAAAATTTGTGGGACCCATGAAATATGTAGTTAATATTAATTGTTTGACTTTGACTTGAATTAAAATCAGATTTTAATCCGGACCAAACATGGGCCAAATATAGCATGACTCGAATAGAATATTATGGTCAATACCAATTTCGTTTAAAGAAAATGAAATATATTGTGAGTTGTCATATGGTTGATACTAATCTCCGAATTGAGATCTATTGTTCAATTTTGCCATCTAAACAAACGTTCATCTAATGAATTATTGACATGTTATCAATAATTAATATAACATCTCAAATTTACCCTCATTAACTCCAACAATAACCAGTCAACTTAATGACACGTCATTAATTCATTGGATGTACAACAAAATTAGACAGTAAATCTCATCTCTTGAACTGTTCATCTAATGAATTATTGACATGTTATCAATAATTAATATAACATCTCAAATTTACCCTCATTAACTTCAACAATAACCAGTCAACTTAATGACACGTCAATAATTCAATAATTCATTGGATGTACAACAAAATTAGACAGTAAATCTCATCTCTTTATCACCATCTAAGTTTTATTGATTATTAAATCATAATTTATTTTTCATTAATTTCCATATCAATACCATAATTATGGGGATAAGTTTATGTTATATCCTAAAATCAATACCATAATTATGGGGATACTTTCCATATCAATACCATAATTATGGGGAATGCAATTTAACCTTATTCTCATGAGGTAAAATAAAATAAAAAATCAAAACTGTTATTCTCTTTCAAATTGCCGAAGACTCTTCGTCGCCAATCAAGGATCTTCAAACCTTATTGACGATACCTGTAAAAATGGGGTTGTTGGAATTGCTCCACCAAGGATCAAGAATTTATCTCCAACACTTCAATAACCCGAAAACGAGGCCAGAACTCTCCCCCGTTATTGAGAGAGAGGGAGGGAAAGAGATTTTGCTCGTATTGGAATTAAGAAAATGAGAGCGATTAGTAACCTATGGAAAATACTTTGGGTACCTTGACTATTTATTGGACATGATCTTTATCACATGCCTCGACATTAGATTTAGGGCTAAACTATCTTTCTACTGTAGCATAAGGATCTTCGGACATTTGTCGTGTTCATGGATGTTAGATTAGGTTGATCTATCTTAGTACTACAGCACAAGGATCTTCATACATTTGGGGAGTTCCCGAACATAAGATCTAGGGCTAACTTGTCCCAATATTGAGACAATAAGATCTATGGGCCATCGTCACATTCTTGGACCATCGAATATAAAAGGACATGTAAATGGAATGTGCGTGTATGAGTATGGATCCACCCATACATGAAGTGGGATAGCTTAAAGATCAACGTTTGACTATGAGCAATCGATCGACCAACCAAAATGTTGGTCATCGGCCAGCTTGAATGGCTAGTCAATGACCAATTTTATGAAGCTTATTGATCGGGGATAGACCCTTTGTGCACCACTAAGTCTATGTGGCCAGGTAGGGTGCTACTCGATATCTCTTGTGAGAAAGTACTACCCAACCATGCATCGTGTTGACGATCGTTAATCAACTCAAAGCATGGGTGAGGTCATTCGAGGTGCCTTCAATGCAAATTTTTAAATTTTCATTTTGTTAGCACCTGAAGCCCCCATATTCCTCAATGATTTCATCGGGAAAATTTCATTCAAGGTAACAATAGTTTACTCTAGTGTCAATCAAATAATGGTACTTCAATTTTGGTCAATCTAGAAACTACACTTTAATTTGATTTTAACTAAGGTAGTTTCTTCCAATTTAACTAAATGAAAATCGATAATGTGGCTATTAATAAATAATGGTCATCAGTTATCACACGTAACAATTTGTTAATAACGAGAAATAAGTACAATTTCAATGGAATAAATGATGCTGTCATTTATCGGCTCTCATGTCATCCATTTTCGTCCATCCAAATAACGAAATTGGACGGAATTACACGATTAAATGTAATTTCGGGGATGGCAAAATTGAAGCACCAATTGACACTACAAGAAAAGTGCAGTTACTATTAATAGCATTTATCCTTAATTTCCCCCGAGGAGTATTGACGTCAGAAACCAGTTGTAAAAGTAAAATGTCTATGTAAATGTCAATTTCCAACTTACGATAATTTTATAAAGATTGAACCCCAACCTTGAGGGTCCCCACCGTCCCATCCCGCATCGTGGAGAAGGTAAATCACTGAATGTATCTCAACAGGTCAGGGTACAAGAGTTGTCATACTGATACCCACAAAGAGTCCAATTCCATACATTGTAAGAGGTAGGAATCGAATCATCACACTGCGACTGCCAGTTTAGTTGAGACTGCCTCACTCCTGTCCTTTACACCACCGAGGAGGCAACTAATGATAATTTTATATTTGAATCTGAGGTTGATTTATGATGTGTGACGAGATGAGGTCAATTATGCTTATTTTCATATATTGTTTATTCATGTACGACCGTATTATTGAACACTAGCCGATTTAAATTATCATTAGGTATGGAAAATTATTGTGTAGTAGTATATATTCTTTGAGTTGGTAGGACTTGGTTATAAATTATACTAAAATACTATGACCATACACATCAATCACTTAATTAATGTGTGCAAGAATACTTTGGCGGAGACTTGTTGATAGAGATGATTGGTTGAATATGTATTGATTCTCTGCGTGAATTACGTATGTGGAACGATTTTGACTATATGTAAAAATTAGGTATTGACTGTATGCACATACCAGACTAATCCTTGAAAACTAAAATTTGGAATTTAGATCTCAAATGGATTTGACTAGCTTGATGAGCGCTTGAAGAGTGGGGCTCTAAAAATTAGAGATTTTAATCCGGTCCAAACATGCCCTAAATAAGTTTGTGATGTCGAAAATATATATGCAACAATGAGCCATATAGATTCTACACTCAAGGTGTGATGTCGAAAAGTATAATTAGAGCGCATGAAGAGTAGAATATTCTCTCAATTTGATTCGTCATCTTTGAATGAGACAAATTTGTTCTCCTAATTGTCCATTAGTTAAAAGTCAAACCGAACCCCTTACGTAACACTTCAATTATTTAGTCATTACTTAAGCATTCCACCGAGTTTGATTTATTAATTTAAAAAAGAAAATAAGAGAGGACAAAGAGACAAAAACCATAGTTGATATTCTCCAATAAGTATTAATGAGATTGCTGACATCAAATAACTTTCGCCATAAGATCAAAATACTTACTTGACCTTTTATATTTAAAATTACTTTCTTATCCCCGTTTGGTGCACATTTTGAAGGTAAGAATGCATTTTTACCGTTGATGTGATGGAAAATATGTGGTTGAAAAAGAAAGAAAAGTTATTGATGTGTTGTAAAATATTATTTTATTAAAGAATGTACAGTTGAAAATGAGTAGAAGAATAAAAATAAAAAAAAATAATGTGAACCAAACAGACTTTAGTGAACTCATATACACAAGTGCAGAATATGAGATAAGCAAAGGATTCTAATTTGAAGTTGTGCACTTAAAATAATCGAATTTAGAAAGACTTGAAACTCATAGTCTAGAAAAATCATTAATTTAATTGCTTAAATTAAGTAAAATAAATTTCTATGAAGATATTGCTGATGGTCAAACAATGCAACAATCGACATATACACACATATGGTGACATCTTGTCTTACCTTTCTAGATTCATTTCGTTTTAATATTTAGTAAATGGTCTGAGTAGGTATACATTATAATGCATTTATACATATATAGATACAATAGTGATACAACATTTTACGGGTCAGAAGAAATTAATGGAGTTAATGGGATAGGCACTAGTTGGCCAATTGCTATTATTTAATGTCTTGTCATTGTACACAAATTAAGCACGTATCTAATTAATATTTAGATGGCTAGAAATTCAACATATATTTTTTTGTGTTATGGATCATGCCTTTGTCCCAATTACTAGAGGAGTACCAAAAAAAAAAAAAAATTTTAAAAAAAAATTCCATGAAAACTAGCTCCTCAAAATATCCTTTGTATGAGACCTGTTTGATGCACGTTATTGAGTGGAAAATACATTTTAAGCTCTTGTTTGTTTACAATGAAAAGCAGAATTTGTACCATTTCTTGTAATGTTGAGCCACAATATTTGACCATTTTGTGTCATAGTGGGCTCCACAATTATGGAAAAAAGGTCAAAAAAGCATTTTCTTGTCGAAATAATTGGAAACAAAGAGGGGCTAAATAGTGATTTGATAGAAAATATGTAGTTAAAAAATTTAAAAAAGTTTTAGATTTACGTGTAATATTATTTTGTTGAAAAATATAACTTTAAAGTCTATATTCCAATTACTAAAGTAATATAAGTGTTGTGGCTTGCTTATTTTACCATTCCATAGAGCTACCAACTTTCATGCTAGGAAGTATGGATCAAATCTCTAGTCCAGTTACAAAAGTAATATTAAGAAAAAGTAAACCAGAAACAAATGCAAGAAGTATGAAACACGTCCTTATCGACCCTCAGTGTAAGTATATCCCCTCATTGTTGCTTGGTTTTGTAAACGTCACTCAGCCTGTAATTCATTGTGCAGTTAAAATTAATTGTTGATTTTAATTTAGACTTTTATAAACTTTTTAAACTAAACTATACTAAACTAAACATGGGAGTAAGCATGTAATATGTTTACGTTCCAGAAAACCCAACATTTCATAGAGGTAGTCTTTTTTAAATAATTTCCAAAATCTACTGCAGGTATTCTATAAAAACCAAGTAAAGCATGCCTGAAGCATTTAAAGAGAGAGTTGCAATTAATTTGAGAGAAATTAAGTAGATTTGGAGCTAGCAAAATATGGAAGGAATAGAGGGTTTAGTTAGCTGTGAAGCAAACTATGTACCTCTCTCTCCAATAAGCTTTTCAGAGCATGCAAGATTTGTTTATCAAGATCAACTCTCTATCGTTTATGGAACCAAAAAATATTCATGGAGAGAGACGCATGATAGATGCGTCAAGCTAGCCTCTGCATTGTCGCAGCTCGGAGTTACACCTGGTAACATTGTAAGTTCTTCTCTTTTCAATTTTTTGAGCGCTTGCATGGTGTTGACCTCAAAATCCCTCATGAGGGTAAAAAAGTTGTTCAGAATCAGGCCAAATAATTAAAGAAGAGAAAATATAAATAATATGAAAATAATGAATCACACAAGGATACAATATTTTGTGGAAGAAGAGAATTTATTATACCGTGAAACTAAAATTATTTTTACGAGATTTTATTCTTTTAAATTTAAATCTAAACAATTCTCTCAAGTTTCGAATGTATACGATAATGATCTAATTGTTATCTCGAGTCATTCTAAAGAACCCATACCTTGTGGGCTATTTATAAGAGCTTGATGAATTATAACACAAAACAACGTCAAAAATCAAACATGAGTGAAATTTCCCTTTAACCGGCAACGCCGCCGGTGCTTTTATTTCCTTTTGGGCTCCCGGTGCTCGGATTTTGTTCCAAAATGTTCCAAACATTTTTTATACATTACACAATACTTTTTTCAATCAGACTCTCAATTCACTATGAAACTTGATCTCTTATCAAACCAAAGTTCCAAACCAACATTATCTAGTCTTCTTCTATGATTCAAACTTCTGTAGAATTTGAGTCACAAAATATAACAAACTTCACATTGACACAAATTCTATAGCAAGAGATTAAGTCTTCACTCTTCAAGTTATTCTCTAACTTTTCCACATACCCCTTCCGAACATTCCATGCCCTTGCCGGACATACTATGTAACTTAGTGGAAAAAGTTGTATGAGTATTTTTAAGAGATTCTTTAAATATAAGATGTTCTCTATTTTAAAGAGTTAACATTTAAATTATGTTCTAAGAAACTCTTTAAATTAACATTTTAGAGAGTGAGTTTGACTATCTAAATTTGGAGAGTCAAATTAATTGTACCAAAGTATTTTTCAATTTTCAATGAAGGAAAATAATATAATAATTTGAAGGGAAGTTAGAAAAAAATAGAAGGTAGGGAAATAAAAATAAGGGTGTTTGATTGGCTTTATTTTTCCTGAAAAATGTTTTTTTTAAACTCAAGTTCTACTTTTGGGATATTTGATTGACATTTTTTCTATAAAAATTATTTTCTAAAAGTTGGTCACTATGACCATATTTTTTTCAAAAACAAAGAAAATACTTTCTTTAAAAGGGAGTATGTTTTTATTTTCAGGACAATTCACACACACACTCTGTCTTATCTACCCATATCTCATTTACCCACCAACAAAGGATGGATAAGTATAATATTTTTTAACTTGAAAATTCAATCAATCAAATACATTTAATTAATAATTTTGCCTATAGCTATTTTTTTCCATGTAAATTACATGCTTACAATCAAATACATCATAAATATTTTTTTAGAAGTAGTAAAATTAAGTGTTAAATATAAAGAGCATGTTGGAGTACCTTAAAATTTTTACTCTCTAAATTTATAGATAGTTTCTAAGTTATAAAATATGATATTTAAAAATAGGGAGTCTCTTGAAAATACTCCAAGGCATAAATAAAAGTTTATGCAACTTTTATTTTCATTTTTTCAGGGAAAGTATTCACAATTAGTTTAACCCTATAACAACTACATCCTCAATGTCTTAAATTGGACTTTTCAATCCCTAACTTTTAGTTCTATCTGCATAATTTGTCCTCTTACATATTTCCATCAACTTCTTTTTTTACCCATGAAAGCTTTATTAATCAATCATACATTCGATCTATGGATGATCAAGTTACTCGCTTTCCTACGTGTAGTTCTAACATTCCAATAGGAAAGTGCATATCATATGCGGACCTTCTTCATACAACAGTCGCATTGGACTACCTACACAAATTAGTTTTAAGTATAAGAAGCCGAGTAGGCAGGTTTATTCGTATAGAGAGAAAAAGAAAGAGAGAATTGAACTTTACAATATTTTATGGAGATATTCATTTACTTGGAGAGACCGACGTTTTGATACCACGAGGATTAGGAAACCTAAATTCCAAGAAACAAAAGAATATTGACTAGATCCATGTTCAGCGGATCACACCTAGTAGAAAAAATAATTTTTTGTTTCCACTTATAATCACAAGTTCTACCACTGAAACAACTAAGAAAATATGTAGTTTTATTGTTTTCTTCAAATGTTGTTATTTGTTACTATCAATGTGCGCCAAGCAACGTTGCAACATCAGCTGCCAGGAACCACTATCCCTTATTGTGCCCCATACAAAGCCATTGTTTGACAGAATTATTATTATTATTTTTTTTTGGAAAAAATGAGTTTTTGAATAGTAAATTTTCAAGGAATGTATGGTTAAAAAGTAGGAAAAAGTTTTGAATTTACGTGAAAAATATTTATTGTAAAAATGTATGGTTGAAAATGAGAATGAGACAAAAAAAGAGTTTCTAAAGAATGATTGTCAAACAGGGGCCAAAAATCATGGTTCTGTCACTGCTTTGACTTTCTCAGTGCAACAAAGGTATCAAAGATAATCCTGCAAACAAACATTTGGCAATTGTCCAATAGTATATTGTTAAGAATTGGGTTGTGACTCGAATCCTTGGTAAGTATTTGATTAGAAATACTATTGGAGGAGTATTAAAAGTTTGTAGTAAACTTGAAAATGTCTTGAAGGAGTCTAAGATGGATTATGAGAGGTTTTTACGCGAGACGGTCTCTTGTTGAATGTCCAGAAGATGCTCGAGCGCTTAGAATAGGGATCTTGCGCTCACTTGGTGCCAGGTTGCCTCTCAAACGACGGTATTACTGCTCGAGCGGCGATGAAGTTCAGGAATGATACTAATTCCTTTTTTGGTAGTTTTTGACTCATATTTCTTCCCAAATATTCCATTATTGACTTTACTAATTGTATTAGGACTTCACCTTATTATTAAACTCTTCATTATATTAAACCTCCTAGTATGTTACGGATTGTTGTATTATAAATATGTGGTATATTACACATATTTGATAAAATAGAATAAAAAGAGGATCCACATTAATTAGAGAAAGACTCGAAGATAAAGATATCCAGGAAAAAGTCACATATTATAACTCCTTACTTTGATTATAGTGAATTCTCTACCTTTATCTGTGATTTTTTCAGTTGGGTTTCCATGTAAATTTTGTGTTCTTATTGTTTGATTTCATATTGCCGTATTATCTCGTTATTCTCTAATATATATTCAACAAATAACTTTTTTAGTTTTTTTTTTTAAGACAACGTCACGAAATTTTACAGGTTATTTTTGAGCAGGTACGTATGGTTCAAAGTAAAATGGGCATTATACAAAAGGAAAAAGCCTCTTGTATGGGGGAAACTGCGAGGGGGCAGTTACAGGGCTGATATGACAGCCCATGATTAGGTTTTTTTTTTTTCCCAACATTCAATGAAAAATTGCCAAGTGTTTATCTGTATAAAAACCTGACAATTTAGCACGGTGGTTATAAAAAGACATATTTGCAATGTCATTTATAACTCTTAAGGAAAAGGGGTTTCTGTGGATATTTGACAATCTAATTTGATAAGCAAACTGTTACTGCTTAGCTATTGAAAATAGAGTTCCAATCAAAAGCACAAGTATTAATTGTAAACTGTAATATTTCATTCTTTTCACAAAGTTCTTGCATCAATAAGATAAAGAAACCTAAGATTATAATGGACTAATCTATGCTTTAGGTGATGCAGTCCTAATAACGTGCCTTAATTACTTCAAACAAATTGTTGTCTTTTGATGATAAAAAAATATTGTGTTTTGGCTGTTAGAAGGCCCATTTTCCATCTTGTTTGATATGCTACAGTTGGTTCCTACATTTCATATACAGCTGTATTTCAACTAAGCCATTTCTTTGTATGATCAGGTTGCAGCAGTGGCACCAAACATTCCAGCACTGTATGAGCTGCATTTTGGCGTTCCAATGGCCGGGGCCATCCATTGCGCGCTTAACACAGGGCTGAACGCAACTACATTAGCAATGAAACTGGAGCAGTTGCAAGCCAAAGCTGTTTTTGTGGACTATCAGTACATTGAGGTTGTTCAGCAAGCTATCAGTATGCTCTCTCAAATAAAAAGCAAGACACTTCAACTAGTCTTGATCCAGGAAAGCAATATGGATTCAACATTATCAGTTAATATAAAGGAACCGGATGTAGAAAACTGTTTGGAATATGAAAGGCTAATTGCAATGGGAAAAGCTGATTTCAAGATTCTATATCCAAATGATGAGCGCGATCCAATCTCAATAAACTACACTTCTGGTTCAACAGGAAATCCTAAAGGAGTCGTATACAGTCACCGGGCTGTCTATCTGAATTCATTAGCTATGATTTTTCGCAGCGAGATGAGGCAAATGCCTGTGTTTTTATGGGCAGTTGACATGTTTCGCTGCAACGGATGGTGCTTCCCTTGGGTAATGGCTGCTCTAGGCGGCACAAATATTTGTGTCAGAAATATCAGTGGAAAAGCCATTTTTGATGCTATATTCCATCACAATGTCACACATTTCTGTGGGGCGCCCGGAATCTTAAATAAGATTGCGGAAACACCAGCTACTGATCAGCACCCTTTGCGTCACAAGGTGAATATAACTGTTGCGGGAACACTACCACCTCGTGAAATTCAACAAAGACTCGAAGCTTTAGGTTTTATTATCACACATGGATATGGAATGACTGAAGCTCTTGGTCCAGTGATGCTGAAAATCTTGAATCAGGATAATTCATCTGATTTAGATGAAAAGGAAAATATAAAAGCTCGTCAAGGCATTCACAGCCTGTTGGTGGAATGTCTTGATGTAAAAGATCCCATTTCGATGAAAAGTGTGCCAGCTGATGGGAAGACAATAGGAGAGGTGATGTTCAGGAGCAATACTATGATGTTGGGGTACATGAAAAATTTACAAGCAACACAAGAAGCCTTTAAGGGAGGGTGGTATAGGACTGGGGATGCTGGGGTGAGATATCCCAATGGTTGCATAGAAATGAAGGATCGTTGGGATGACATGATCATATGTGGAGGCGAGATCGTTAGTACACTTGGGATTGAAGCTATCTTAGTTAAGCATCCAAAGATTTTGGAGGCTGCTGTTGTTGGAAAACCTCATCATATTCTTGGAGAGACACCTTGTGCTTTTGTGAAGCTAAAGCTGGAATCTCATGTGAGTTCTGAAGAGATTATCAAGTTTTGCCAAAGTAATTTGCCTCATTATATGGTTCCTCATAACGTAATTTTCGGGGATTTGCCTGTAAACTCAACTGGAAAAATTCAAAAATTTGTTCTCAAAGGCAGAGCCTAGGATATTGGAAGCATGCTGCAATGAATAATTTCTTCTTAACTTGGTCTCTAATGCAAAATGCAAAAGGTAGATTTTCATAAATGTCACTAAATTTGAAAATGCACAAAAAAATTTCATGTGCACTAAATTTGTTCAAAAATGTCACTTTTTTGTTGTCAAATGTCCAAACTACCCTTAATGTGACATTTGTAAGATCAATTAATGCTTGATTGAAATACCATTAATTGTTTGATGTGAT